TGGACATCATGTCTCTGAAAACTTATTTCCTCAATTTGCCTTTCCTTGCATTTTTTCCTACATCTTTTCCTCACATCTTATGTGGGTGGGACTAAGAGAATGAACCCCGATGTAATTAAGGGAACTGGGATGTACCCAGTGACACTACAGCCTGGTGTTCAGTTACTCTAACTAAACACTGTGAGGTTGCTAGTAATAAGGACAATACAGCAGGTTTTTCTACTTTTATCTAACTGATGGCATCACACTTTTAGAGTATTTTTAAGAACATACACCAAAGTTGTAAACACTGTTTTTTGTTCTTTCCCTCTCTATCTGTCTTTTATGCTACAGTGGGACAGTGGTGAAAGCGCGGGATAAATTCCGCCACCCTGATTGCTTTGTGTGCGCCGACTGCGACATGAACCTCAAACAGAAGGGCTATTTCTTTGTGGAGGGGCAGCTGTACTGTGAGACTCACGCTCGTGCCAGAATGAGACCACTGAAGGGACATGACCTCATTACAACTTATTCTTCTGCATAGATTCTCCTCTTACAAGCACAGATACAAACACTCACACAGGCACACACACTATAGTAAACACTTCTATTTCCTCCCAAGTGCTCATCTACATTTTAATGTTGTCTGTGTGCAACAACATTTTAGCAAGAATATACTTTTTCTGCATATAACAGTATATTGTTCTGACCTGTAAATGACCTTTGTGTAGGAACATTTTACAGGGCACACTTGAACATGTGTTGTTTCATGACCCCAGCAGAAGTGACAACAAAACACACTGAGAACTGTCACTTTCATCGTGCTAGTTTCTCACAATTTGATGTCTTTGCAATAAAGGGGAGAGGAATGTTTCCAAGTGTCTGTGGAGATTCTCAGTCATCAGGTCACGGGATATCTGACCTGCAACTGTCACTGGACTTGTTTGAGGTTCTTGTAGATGTCTCACTGTTTCACGAGAAGCTTCTTTAGTTTTGACTGACTGGTGAGAGTGTCAGGTATTTAACCACTGTAGAGTCGCTAACCTCCAGAGGCTTGTTTGAAGTCATATGTAGGTCATTGCCCCACCCGGTATGTGGCTCACTAAGAAAGCATTAGGTGTGGATACGTGTTAAATTTCCTTTGGAGGTATCATTGGCAACTCTAAATTGCCCCTAGCAGTGAATGTGGGTGTGTGTAGTTGTCTGTCTCTAAATGTCAGCCCTGTGACAGACTGGCGACCTGTCCAGGGTGCACCCCACCTCTCACCCAATGTCAGCTGGGATTGGCTCCTGCCTCCCTGTGACCTTCTTCAGGATAAGCGGTATAGATAATAGATGGATGGATGATATCATAGACCACCTCCTCTGTTTAATATTGGTCATTCCAATTTGATATAGATGGCTTCTTTCACTCCTTTTTCAAAGCATCTGTCTTCTCTGGCCAAGGTGTGAACATTGCTGTCTTTAGATGGTGGTGGACTGCTGAGTCTTGTCCTGAGGAGTTAGCTCTTCTGTATTGTGACATGCGTTTGTTTACCAGCTGCTTTGTTTCTCCCCTGTACAAGTCTTGGCAGTCCTCACTGCACTGAACTGCTATACTAGATTGCTCTGCATAAATCTGGATGTTTAGTCTTCAGGGTGGACAAGCTTCAGCCTCAGAGTGTTGTTGGGAGTGGAATGTCCAGGGATCCAATGTTTCTTGAAGATCCTCCTGGGTTTTTACGGTAATGTATGGACACAAAATCGACATTCCATACATTGCTGGAATATCTGCTTATCAGTTTTCACAACTTGCATGACTTCAAAAGTTGGCTTTACTGAGTGAGTAAATGCAAGTGAAAAAACATGTAGCCTGCTCTTCATCATCTGTTCTTTTTAAAGGCAACAACATCAGCACTGGCCAGCAGCCACACTGTCACACAAATGCCAGAAAATTTGGAGACCTCACAAAGCACAGTAATGTCAAAGTTGGTAGCAACAAGAAAAAGGCAAAAGAGAGTAAACGATGATGTAATACCCCTCCTAGTAACACCAATACTTATTGTGTAGCTATTAGCAAGATACAGCTTCTTTACAACAATCCATAAAGCCAGAGGGTTCTGTAGAGATGTTTCTTCCTGTTCAAAGAATAATTGATCAGCAACTGTTATATAACTCAACCATCCATCCATCTATTATCTATAACACTTATCCTGTAGAGGGGTGCGGGGGGGCTGGAGTCAATCCCAGCTGACAGTGGGTGAGAGGGAGTAGTCTGCCTGGAGAAAACTCATGCAGGCAAAAGGAAAACAAACTCAACACCAAAAAGCCCCAGTAGGCTACTAGGTTTGAACCCAGAACCTTCTTGTTGGGAAGCAATGGTGCTATACCACTGCACCTCTGTGCAAACAAAAGTTGTAATTACAGTGGTGTAACATAAGCTCCTTTTTGACATGCACTCCTTTCCATTAATCTGACAGCATCTGAATGTGTCAAATTCATTTCTAAATGAGCACCCCGGTCACTTTTCCATAAATTCACAATGGCAATCTTACTAGGGCAAACCTAGTAACATTTATGTTTGACTTTCAGCGTGACCCAAGTCTGCATGCAGTCATATTAACAGATAGGCACGTACAAGATTGCACACGTATGGTAAATACTGCATTTATGCCATGACGCTCTCCCTGGATATGTCTGAATGAAGCTGCAAGGAACAGCAATGTAAAAGTGACCTGTCTGAATGACAGAGAGCAGCAGCTTTAACAGAGTGATGAAGCCAACAATGTTATGTACCCCATGTTTTTAAAGGGCTACAGTACAGTTCTTCTTTTTCATTAGAGCATAGGGAATAGATGGCATGGAAAAAATGTTACAGCTGAGCTCAGAAATTTTCCATTCATGTCTCTGCTATAGACTTTTTAATGCCAGAGTCTGCTGAGGATAAAGCTGAACAAATCAACGATTCCATCATGTTGTGTTTTTCTAAACTCCCATAAATTTATTTTTAATGCCAGCCAAGATCTCACTCCAGTTTCCAGAATTCCAAGTTGAAGCTGAGGTAAATTATCCACAAAATTAGATATAACAATTTAACAATGACATTGCAATATCATAAAAGCATCTACAGTGAAATGTTGAAACTGTCAGAAACAAGATACAGTATGTAAGGGATGAATATGATAATGTGGTAGTGGTGAAAAATCTGGGTTCTGCTGCTTACCACAAGTCTCCTGTGAATGTTAAAATAAGACATTAATGTTCACCAGAGGCATCAGTCCTGGAGTTAATTCGGCCCAGTGTGCTCATTACATTGAGAAGAGTGACTGCTGCTGCAGCATTAAGTCCCTGTTGAGACAGTAGGGGGAGCTTCAGCATTATTCTTTGACCATTTCACATAGCAACAAAACACACTGAAGACATAATGAGGCACTGAGTTGTATGTTTTGAGGTTAGGGGGTATATTTGTTTACACAGTTACATTGTGGGGACTCTGCCCTTATGGGGACAAAAAACAAGTACATATGTTAATCATTACATTTTAAAGGGACAACTTTAAGGTGAGGTGAGGGTTATGTGTTAGGTCAGTAGTAGTTATGGTTAAGATTAGGGTAAGTCTCCAGGAAATTAAGTCAATCGGTACGTCTCATGTCTCTTATAAGAACCATCGTTTCCCTCATTTGTGTCTTTTCCTTGAATTTTAGATAAGATGCAAGGAAAACGTGAGGAGAGAGGACTCAAGGAAATACATTATTAACAACATGAGAAACCCTTTCCTCCATTTGAAGCATACAATCACCAACTGAGTTCCGATAGAGAGGTGTGTCAGTTCACAAAAACTCCTGCAAAGGATGGTATCATGTATCCTCAGTCATGGCTCCTTCATACCGTCCTAGGTCCTCAGTCCTTAGAGCCGATATAAGAGACTCCTCTGCCCCAGAAGTTGTTTCAGTCAACCAAGAATTGAGGACATATGAATGATCTTGTAAGAGACATGAGACATACCCAGTGTAATGTCCCCTGAAGTTATGGAAACAACATGTATTTGTGTCTAACTATATGTAGTGTGCCCCTAATGCTGAATATGTTAAAAAAACAACTTTTTACAAGTTAACAGAGCCCAAAGTAATGTTTTAAAGCTGTATCATCAAAAAATATAACATACAATCAAGTTAAATGGGTTGGTAACAGTGAAAATATGATGAGGATTATCACCAAACAGTGCAGTTTTCCATTCTTTTTTTTAGCACAGCGTCTTGATTTCACCTTAACCCTGTCAGGATTTTACCAAACCACTGTACACCACCTAGATCAACAAGACAGACAAGAATAGTAATAAAGGAAAAGAAAGAAGACCAGGACATTTTTCTCTGGACCTGGACCTAACCGCAGATAAAACAATGATAAATCGTTGCATTCTTCAAGCAGAGTAAAAAAAAAAAGTCTAAATGAATGTGAACATGACCACTGAATGTCTGAGACATACTGTACATGTTTGCTAACATATTAGCTAAAGTTTAAGAATCATCTGTCATTTCTTTTGGAGTTTTGCCCTCTAGTAGCCAAAAATGAATGTTTTAAAATTCACCATGTTGTTATAAAACATGGTGAATTTTTTGTCTGAGTAATTTATCAATACACCTAATGTTCCAGCATTAGTGCACACTTATGAATAGTAACATCTAATTTAAATAAACTTAAATTGCTAAAGAACAGCAAAGCCACCATTAACAAAAAATCTGTTCTTTATGAGAGCTATCTTTGATGAACATGCTGTCATCTGATTCACAACCAGATCCATTTCATTATTTCACAATAGAAATACATTTAGTTGACAAAATCAATACTCACTCCACAAACAAAATTTAATGAATCAAAAATTAATACATATAGATGGACGACTTTTTCTTCTCAAAATCAAAAAAGCCGACCATTAGCAAACACGGATGCATTCAATTTGTTTCAAGGCTAGTGTTTATTTTAGTCCATTAGTATTATCCTACTGAGAGCACACTTTGTGACAGTAGCAGCTAATCAATAATCTGAGACAGTTAACGAAGAAACTATTGATTTAGTGCTGAATACACCGTAAGTAGCTTACTAAAAAAGGAGATGTGAGCTAATAAACAAGCCCCTTGGCTCCTCACGTTCACACAAAGCAAAGAACCTGTAAGAACCTGGTCAACAGGAAGGCTCTTCGAAATGTGAGCACCAGTGTAGTCACTGTAAAAGCAAACAATTAAGATGCTGGCTGCAAACACAGACGAGTCAGGGAGAGGAAGGAACTCATCCTCTATGTCTGCAGCTTACACTGTATGCCATAACAAATAACAATAAACAAGTGGGTGTTCTTTACCCACTTTAGTCATTTTTATATTACGGTTTAACATTACAGTTGAACAGGGTTTAAAGGTTGAGTCATCAGCTCCCAAATTTAAGATTCCAATCATTTAATATATCAAGAGGAGAAATCTGAAAAATGATAACATAAAAAATGCAAGAAGAAAAGTCATCACAGTTTGACTCACAAACAATTTAACTGACAAGAACTATTGTTTGGAACTAGAGCTATGGTCCACCTTTGTAGCAGTGTTACTAAAAGTTATTTAGTCATTCTAAAGGTGATGCCTTCTTCCAACCCATATCCCTTCTCTCAGTTTTAATGGTCAAAATGCACATACACAGCCAAACATAAACTTCACATTTCCACAAATAATCATCAACCTTCTTTGACTGTGCAACTTAGGCCCCTGTTGGGCCCTCAGTGAGTGTCCATCGCCCTCGTCCCACATCGTTGGCACTAGTTGGGCCCGGTCGTTGGCTGATTTGACATGTTGAATCTGTGACAGACCTCATCATTGTGAGAGACCACTCTGACTGGCTGTTCAGCTTAGTGAACCAATGCACAAAGAGAGAATGGTTCAGGAAAGTTCCTTCAGCCTGTCGCTGTAGTCTCCATGATTCCACCCATTTAGAGCAGTTCCTCCTTGTTTTTCGCCTCCACAACATCCCTTCTTTTTCACAAAAGACCAAGGGCAGAGAACGGCAGTGCCATTTGTAACTTCTTATCAGACAAATTCTCAATTAGAAGCCACTACAATTGGTAGCTGTTGTGAATGACAGCTGCTTTGTTTACAGTTTGTATATCTGCAGTCTAGCTCTTCTTCTTTCCCTTTTGTAATGAGGAGTACAGATACTGCCATCTGCTGGTAAGGGAAGTTATTTCTCTCATGCAGATTCAGGACGTACATGCTAGTTGGCCATTGGCTGTAGTCGGTGTGGTGTATGCAACTGTCACTTGACTGGCCTGGACAAAGGCAGCGTGAAGTGATGCAACAGTTGGCCTTCATCACTGCTAGTTATTTCATGTGAGCCTGCCCTTAGACATTTGTTAATTTGCAATCTGAGCATACCTTGTCCTCTTTTTTTTGTGTGTCTCTGCCTTTGGAGCTCCTTGATCTCAAATTGAACGACCTGTACACGGACAAAAAGGCTGACCTGTAATTGTTGTTCATCCACCCATACAGGATGGGATTAACAAACGTCGAGCACATCGCCACAATATGGAACACGGTGAAAAGCAGCTTGAAGTCCTTCATATACAGCACAGTGCTGTTGATGTCAACAGCTAATTGGAAAGCATGGAAGGGCAACCAGCTGACAGCAAAGACCACCACCACGGTCAGCAGCATCTTAGTGGTCTTCTTCCTGTGCTGGTGACGGTCATTTCGACCTCCGTGAGCCATGTGGTTCTTCAGTTTATTCCAGATGCGGATGTAAGCAACTGAGTTAATGACCAGAGGTAGGCCATATTGAACCAGAAGCATTGATATACTGTAGATTGTTCCGTTCATGCTGCTTCCCGGCCACTTCTCTGCACACACCTGAATAGACTTGTCTGGTGAAAGATCGAACGTGCCATACTCCCTGAATATGGCGAGCGGGCTGGCCAACAGGATGCTCACTGTCCACGTCATGGCAATAACCACAGTGCACATGTCTTTGGACATCTTGGTCTCCATGTGATAGACGATGCTCCTGTGGCGGTCCAGGGCGATAATGTTCAAGGTGATGGTGGACACGTGCACAGCCGTGCCTTGAGCACAGGGCAGCATGAAGCACAACACCCGACCAAACTTCCATTCACCATAGAGAGTGTAGACGAGGGTGAAAGGTAAACACAGCATGTTCACGAGCAAGTCAGCCACAGCCAAGTTTACTATGAAGAAATTGGTAACGGTTCGTAGATATTTAAACTTATAGATGACATATATCACCAAGGAGTTTCCGATGACTCCAAACAGTATGATTGTGCTGTAAGCAAGGATAAGAATCACCTGAACTCCAACCAGCTTTGTGCTGTCCTCCAGCCTTAAAAGATTCTCTTGATTTGTTGTGTCTGTAGCTGAGCAGCAATTGGAAGATTTACCTTCAAGGAGTGAATATTCCACTTGAGTTGTGTTTGACTGATCCACTGTATCCATGGCAAACAGTTCCCACAGGTCAGTCTGTGTAATGATGGACATCAGTTTGAGAAATGGACATACACACAAAGGCAGACAAAGCCACTTAATTTCTTTTTCTTTTCATTAATGACATGACAATCTGGCAAAATACTTTGTCTTTCTCCAAAAACATCAGGGAACAGTGTCTGTTTTCTTTTGAATCATATGAAATTTGCTAAAGTTTAACTGTGCCTTTACTAAATATCTAACTTGCATTCTAGAAGAAGATTAATTTATATGCATGCTGAAACATATACAAAGCTTGTATCATGAGATGGGTAAATAAAATTTATTTGAAGTGATTTTAGCACTGAAAGCTCAGAATCGAATCAGAATCCGCTTTATTGGCCAGGTGTGTCAGACACAGAAGGAATCTGAATCTGGTACAGCAGCTCTCAATGTGTACATACATGTCAACAGTGTCAGAGGTCATCACAAAGCAGAATTGAATTGTGCCACACCTCAAATACTGTGCAGCACATGTTTTTATTTTAAGTATGACAAGTCTTGTTAAAAGAAGCTGCACGTGGCAGACAGACCTCAGATGATAAGACCTATGCTGGAGCTGTTTCACAGAGAGGGGAAGTTGGAGTAAAAACCTGGGACACTCACAGCAGCCATGGTGACTTTGTTGTAATGTGGGAACATTTTCTGATCCGTAGATGAAACTCAGACACAACCTGAGCTTGTACTATCAGTTGAACTATAAGGTGACTTCATGTCTTGAGCTTTTTCCAGCTCATATGGGATATCTGTTACTGACCTCTGCTTGCCTATCAAGGCACATTAAGAAGGATTGTCCCTTTTACATAAAACATCGAATGCACGAACCACGGCCACATATTCTCCTAGAATAGTAAATATTGCAGTGATCTTTGTTCATGTTTGTTCATTTAACGTTAAGTTTAATACTTTACAGGACAAATTTAGGATCTGTGACTATTAACAGGAAAGATCAGTGACAAGTTGCGATGCTAAAGACAACGGCGGCGTTGCGCGTTATTTTTCAGCTGGAGATGAGTCACTGAGTCCTGCGACAGTTTCTGACAAGAATTTCCTAAGTTAAATACGTAGGGAACGTGGCGTCCGATGTGTAAGTCTACAGAAGATCAAAAGAGTAAATACGTAATAAACAAGATTAATCAGATTAAAAAACACTCACCTCGATTTGTGGAGTGAAATTTTTAGATTCCTTTCATTTTCTCTGCATCCAGAAAAAGTTTGGTGATAGCTTGGAACGCAGTTCTTCTCGTTCCCATAATATCCTGATAAATAATAGAAACCTATCAAGCAGCGACGAGATGGTCTTTGACAGGGAAGAAACAGGCGCAGGTATCGTTTGCCAGCGCGCACGCCCTGCAGCCCGTTTGGCACCTGCTCTGTCTGACCGACAGATGTGGCGCGGTGGGCAACAGAGAGGGAACCTGTCCCTCCTGGACCAACATCCTAAAATATTGCTTTACACTAAGTGGGGTTTTTTTTGTTGGTTTTTTTTTTTTTTTTTTTTGCATTTCATCGAGTATGCGTCTGTCTGTGCAGGATGCAAAGGAATAGAATTCATTGTGTTGAACAAATACTGTACAAGCAGAACAATGATACAACTCATCATTATCTACTTAACTGTATCTGTTTATCTTTAGGCTCTGGGTGTGCCTCTGCAGACCAGTCAAGTAAATAACACACAAAGCTTATAGTTAACACACAAAACCTGGGCTTACAAACAGACTCCATACTGATATATATAGACAAACTGGCAAGGCGATTTGATTCATTGTTGTGTCTTTCAGCCTATTGTAACCATGAAGACAAAGGCCCTCTAACCTTAACAGAATACTTATTTCAACCCAAACTATAATTTTTCCCTAATCCTAATCAGGTTTTTCTGTGTGTATGTGTCCCAACAAACATTGACTGTTCCATAATGTTGTTTATTATTGCTTCAAAACTATTCAAATCGTGTGTTGTGTCAAAAGATTTAAACAGTTAAAGAAGGTATCCACGCTGTGCTGGCTGTGTGTATTACATACTGCAAGTTTTGGAGAGGTGTAAGTGTCTGTGCCACTGCAGGAGGAAACACATGTGGAACTAATTTACTGAAAAAACAGCCTCTGTCTGTGCTGTTTTTATTTATTCATTTTTTTAAAAAACAACAAAACATTTAGTTCCTTATTGTGTACCACTACAGTTTTTGACTGTGTGGCTCAGCAGTAGCTCAAAGCATCTTCAATCAGCCGACTGGTCAGGTCATGAGTCCTATATTATTGCATCATGTTGGGTAGGGACCCGATTGATTTAAGGATGTTTGTAATGCTGAGCTTTGCAGGTGGACAGAAGATGAAACATATTTTTCTATTTTGCATGTGTTAAACCCCCCAGATTTATTGCACTTTGTGCAAGCCACCCTTTAAACTATAGCATGACGTGAGTGTAGTTTCACACTGATAGCTTTTTTTTTGCATGATTCTAAAGTAACTCACATTCCTACAAGTTTCTCTGCTTTCATAGGCATAAACCATCCGTCTCACTAGGTTTCCTCTGTTTAATTTTGCCCCTGAGCTTCCTGCCTTAGAGTTTAGCTACAGTGCTGAGTCAAAGTCCATTTATAATCCATGAGCTGCTGCTGTTAAATGAGATTAATGCTGAATATCAGAACCCGGTGAACATTAATGAAGAATAACAAACTAAATTAAACATATAACCCAAAAAGAAACAAATGGGATTTTTATAAACTATACCACCAATAATAAAACCTTAATATCTGATCAAGATAAAGATAACTGAAACATGTCAGTATTAAAACACATCAACAATTGGTCAAAGAATTTCAAACATAAAATAATGTCATTTCATTGCAGTTAGCATGTTTGCTTCCTAGTGCCTTTAGTCACACAGCTAAACCACAGGACTTCATCTCAGCTTCCACCAGAGTGTTAAATTAGAGTCTGACTGTCTCGCCAGAGGCCACTATGCTGCCATCCAGATGGTGAATGAGATGAGCAGGGTTAGTAAAAGTGTCAGCGGCGTCCCACAGCCCAGATACAGCATGGTTCCTACACCACACAGCGCGG